TTTTTTCATGGTCGTTTTTTTTTTTTTTTTTTTTTTTTTCTTCCCCCCTTCCTTTCTTTTTCCTTCCCCCAGCACTAGGCCACCCTCTGCCTGTGATCTGGGGGGGGGTTGGGGTTTCTTCTCACTTCTTTTTCTCCAGCCTGGAGCCACATGCTGCTCTATTCTTTTTCTTCTACCGCCCTTCAGTCTGATATTGCATCCATTCCCCGATAGAGTGAACTTTACTCTGTCCCCTGCTTATTCCCGTGCCTCTGACGGCAGCCAGCAAGCACCGATTCTCACCTACTCCCGCTGGGTGGGAGAGGGAGCCAGCAATGAGGCTGCCATCTCAGCCATGCCTGCAGCTCCAGGGAAGTCTGGTCAGCGGGGGAATCTTTGAATGTACCTTCATTCAAACCCCTGTGGGGACAAACCAGGGTGTTAGGGCAGCAAATGTCACGCCTGCTCCCGGGGAGGGCCATTTGGCAGGCACAGAGCTGCTAACCTTCTTTTTCCTTCTGCTTCCCTATTTGCAGCTTATTCCTAGCACCCTCCCAGCAATTTGCTTTCTCATGGTTAAAGAAGCCTCAATGCAAAGAATGCAGCTCTTATGTGGGGCACTTCTGCTTATGTCTTTTCGGACGCTTCAGTCGTGCCAGTTCAGTACCAACCACTGGCACGGGGATGTGCAAAACCCGTCCGTGAGGCCTCAGTATCTACGTGGTGCACAAGATACGTGCGCAGCAGTGCCTGCCAAATTTACCAGTTGGGTTTTAGTTTAGACTTTTTTTTTTTTTCCCCCACTGCTGAGACAGGGAGAGTAGTCGTTTGCATGGCTTCATGGCTGGCACCCCAGCTGTCACTTCGTTCTGCTCCGTTTTATACTGGGGAACGGCATGAGGTTGGGGCGTGAGCGGTGGGAGATGCACAGGGCACATGCCACAACACACCCAGACAAATGCACGGCTGATTTTTTCCCCCCCATCCCTCCGAAATGCCAAAACTGTCCCACCATTAAAGTCAACCCCCCGAATGCTAGTCTGTCATTTAAAATTCCATCGCGCAGTTGTCTTGGGAGGAAGCGGCGCTGGGGTCAAAGCTCTTACAAAGCTCCCTGAGTGTGAAGGCTTGTCCAAAGCCTTACGGGCTGCCCAGTACTGCCAGCCTTCCCTCTTAAGAGCAAGCGTGAAGAAACCAGGAGCCAAGGAGGCGAAGGTGGAGCTGCAGACTTGGCCACGCAGCTGAGTGCCTTCTGCAGGCAGCATTTGCCTTTCTTAACTCCCCGCAGCTGCGAGAGCGGCGTGCCCGGGGTCCAAATCTTTCCAGTTAACGCTGAGTATCAGTAGATTGGCCAAAGGCGACTTGGAAGACTGGCAGGGCGGTGTTGTGCAGTCATAGACCGTCATGTGGTTGTGGGATCTGTTTGGAGTGTGACGCCGTGCGGTTCCTCTGAGTCCACCCTATGGAAAAGCAGCTCCCTGGAAGCCGGCAGTGATCTCGACTTTGAAACCGGACTTTTCGCTTGCAGAATCATAGAATCATAGAATTGCTTTGGTTGGAAAAGACCTTTAAGATCATCGAGTCCAACCTTTAACCTAACCCTGCCATCCCACCACTAAACCCTGGCCCTAAGCACCTCATCTCTCCTTCTTTTAAAT